GTTATGCATAAAGCCCGGTCGTTCATCGAAAAATATAAATTTCGCAGTGCAAAATATGCCGGGAGAGAAGGATTACGATGTCCGCAAAATGCAGTCACTTTTGAATGTGCAATTAAATTTAACACTTGTCCGTGTGCAGGAAATTTTACCTCCAAGCTGAATTAAGACTACACATGAGCGTATAATATCTCTGTAAAGTTTCACCTCAGATTGTTCGGTAAGCAAAATCATCTTTTTGCTACAAATACGTTTACCGCACCCTAAGGCGTGGTTCAGGCGCAGTTCAAAATTCAGTTTAGGTATGAGTTTTCCCATATGGACAATAAGTTTTCTGCAAAACCTCAGCTATTGTTTTCCAACTATTTTTTGGGCTGGCTTGTTGCCAACTGCAAACTGACGTGACCTCGCGCTCTGTACAGGCACCAGGCGCATACGAATAATAATATTAAAACGGGATGATCGCATACGGGGTGAGCACATACTTCAACAGTTTCAATTTTCTGGCTTTACTGGTTTTCGATTTGAAAGTGGGCGACAAAAAGTGTGAACACACGTACGCAACCTTTTTCCGATATGCATTTTTTCACCTGCATAATATGCAAAAACGCACAAAAAAGAACAAGAACTAAACCTCTGTCTTCCTCAGCTTCTTCCTAAGCCCTGCGTTACTATAATCAGTAGCAACTCTGGGTCTTTTTCACTCAGGTCTTGAATGCCTGAAAGAAAAAGATTAAGGAAATTGCATTATGATTAAAATTTTGCCTGTATATGTTTGCCCTGCGAAATTTCAATTAGTTGTTAAGCGGGCTGCATCACGCTTGTTTCACATGAGTACGGCATGTACGTATATATCAGCTTGCGGATTATATGAGCTAATATAAACTTCAAAATGTTTAGGAGAACGCCGACCGCTGATGGCACAGGAAAGTAGCTCAGGCCGTGTCCCGCCAGCGTCTAGAAGACCCGCGGCGTCGAATCCGACATTTGGTCGAAAATCCACCGGACAAGCTGGAGAAGTGCGACAGCAATATCCACTTCAACAGCTGTGTCAGCAGCAGCAACAACAGCAATGTCCGCCGCAGCAGAAGTCTCAGATTAGAAAGCATATGGACCGAAGCGCGAATTATTCAACCTCTGCTAATTATAATGCTACTTCTGATGCCAGAACTAGAGCTGTGCAACCAGCGAGGGCTGAGAGCAGTGTCGGCACATCATTCCTCGACAGAACCAGGCTGCCTCAAAATGGTTTTGCTGCCGCCACGTCACATTCATCGTCCTCAGGTTTTTTTCCC